CCTGGTGAGCAGGGCTGCCAGGTGCTAGACCGCGGCGGGTGCCCCGTGGGAAGCCACAGAATGGGCATATCACAAAGGGCTGAAAGTAGGGTCTTGGGAGATCTCTACACCTTGCCAAAGTGGGGGCTGGAATGGGGCAGCAGCGCGGGGGTGTGATGGGCAGACCCAGCGGGTCCCACAGGGAATGGTAGTCACCTGCGAAGGGCAAAATCTGATGGCGCAGGCTTCGGGGCACAGCCTGTCACCCCCGCGACTCGGGAGGCCGAGGCGGGAGGAGCACAAGTTCGAGGCCACCTAGGCTGACGTCGCCCCCGAAAAGACCCTTACCATAATTGAGCGTCTCTAGGGAAGCCCCTCCCAGTAATCAAGCTTCTGGTCAGCAAGATTTTACAAAGAACGTCGACAGGGTTTCTGCAGAGAGGTCAATGTGGTTTGAAGATTCCTCTTTCTTGTAAAAGTCTGGTTTGCAGACAAATTGTGTAACACTCGGTTTCTAGAGAGCTTACTGTGCCAAAGTTACTGTTTCTGTTTTCTTGGTGAAAACTTGTGAAACCTCTGTCCCGCCTGAGGATACGGGACAAAGAGTCCTTGCTACATAACCACCCACTGTTATGTAAACCTGAGATAGATCTCAAAGGATTTCCACACCTGGGGTCCAGAAGCTTTTTATACATTAGCTGCAGCTGAAATAAATCTGCTTCCGGAAAATCCCTCAGGTGTTCAGCCTCATCTGTCCTGCATCAGGGCCACTTAATGAGACGTGTCTCAAAACAAACAAACAAAAAGGCTGGGATCTGACACAGGGGAGGAGTGCTTACCTAGCACGCGTTGAACCCCCAGCCCTGAAAAACGTGCAAACACACAAAAAGTGTAGACGGGAAGTAGATCGGGGTGTGCCTAGAGCGGGGAGGGGCCCGGGAGTCAGTGTCTCACCTGGGCTAAGTTTGGATCTGGAAGGCAAGATTGGGGAGATGGCTGCCCATAGACCTCAGGTGTGGAAAAACATTCTGTGTAAATGCCACAGTTAGAAAGTCCTGAAAAACTCGATTGTATTTCTGTAGGTTAGCAACAAACAATTGAATCTAGGAATTAAAGTGCCACTTACAAGAGCATCAGAGATATGTAGAACTTGGGGGAAAATCAGACAGAAGAGGCGGAAGACCAGGGTGCGGCAAGGTGCAGGCCTTCTCTGCAAGAAATCAGACCCAAGGAGCAGGACTCCCGACCGTGACTGACGCGCCAAGATGCCAGTCCTTCCCAAATGGATCTGCGTCCAATGCCACGTGTCAAAAATGCCTAGAGACGTGAAACATTTTTTAAAATCGTTTTTGAAATTGGCCAATGGGCTCTAAAGTCAGGAGGTGCAAGGACAGAAGGTAGCCACGGCAACGCAGAGAAAGAGCACTCGCTGGGGCGGGAAACCCGCAGGGTGGCACTGGCATAGACACCGCAGGTCCCAGCAGCTCGCCAGTGTGAACCGCGGCCAGCCTTCCCCCCCTCACCCCACAGGCCAGCACCAGCTCGGAGGAGCCCGCCCACCTGGGGCTGCACAGTTGTTGGGGGAGTTCCTGTCTCCCACGGAAGCCAGCCTTGTGGAAGAAGAGATCAGTTAGCTGGATTCATCAAAATCTCCAGCTTTCGCCCTTCCAGATACACTGTGAGGAGAACAAAGACGAGGATCCCTAAGGCTCAGGAAAGAAAGCCAAGAGTTGACCAATGGGCAGCGTCAGATTAACAGGCTTCTGCACATTGACGGGATCAGGAATGTGGAGAGAGAACCCACAGGATGGGAAAGTGTTGCCAGCTGCCGTCTGCAGGATCCATATCCAGACGGTAAGAAGAAGGCAAAAAACTTAACCCCCAAGCCCAAATAACCCGATCAAAAATGGGCAAATGGACTAAACAGACCTTCTCAAAAGAAGAAATGCAAATGGCCAGCAAAAGTATGAAAAGACCATGGTCGATTAGGGAAATGTGCATCAAACTGCAGTGAGACCTCATGGCACTCCGGTCACACGGCCATCATCAGGAACACAAGTATAATGGGGAGAAAGGTCCACGGGTACCAGGTGGGTGGGCTGCAAATTAGTATGTCCACTCTGGAGAGCAAGCAGAGGTGCCTCAACAGAGGAGTGGGGCCGCCATGGGACTCACCCTGGAGAGCTGGCATCAGCACAGGGACACAGGCACATCCCGCTGACCGCAGCACGGTTCTCAGCAGCCAGACCCGGGCCAGCCTAGGTGTCCGTCAGCAGAGGAATGGACTGAGACAAAGTGGTGATTCTGCTGGGCTGTGGCTCCGTGGGAGAGCACTTGCCTGGCACGTGGGAGGCCCTGGGTCCCACCCTCAGAACCACATCAATAAATAAATAAGATTAAATACAGTCATTAGTCCATCTACAACTAATTTTTTTTAAAAAGAAAATGAGGTATATAGACACGAGGAATTTTATTCAGCCATAAAGAAGGGTGACGTTATGGCATTTGCAGGAAAATGGTTGGAACTTGAGGCCATTCTGTTAAGAGAAATAAAGCAAACTCAGAAGGTCAAGGGTCCAGTGTCTCTCTCACATGCAGAACCTAGAGAGGAAAAGTGAAGAGAAAGAGGGGGGCAGATCTCACGAAAACCAGAGGAAGATCAGCAGAGGAAGGGCCAGAAGGGAGGTCTGGAGGGAGGGGGACGTGCTGGGGAGGGACGGTGGCTAAATTACTTTGTTATGTTGTGTGCATGTGTCAATCATCCACCCACCTGTCCATCCACCCATCCATCCACTCATCCATCCATCTACCTGTCCATCCACCCATCCATCCACTCATCCATCCATCCAGCTGTCCATCCACCCATCCACCCATGTGCTCACCCACCTGCACTCCATGCTCCATCCATGCATGCATGCACACCCCACAGCTACCTAGCCAGAAGCAAAGTCATGGAGTGCGCCTTCTGTGCGGGTGGCCATGGAAGAGCACACATAGGACACTGCCTTCAAGGAACTCGCTGAGGGAGGGCTGGAAATCGTCACACGGTGACGACAGGGTCAGTGTGAGGGTGTGACACCTGGGCCACGTCTTCAAGGAAAAAGGGGGCGGCTGCCCCAGAATGGCTGAACTCCCGAAATGCAGTCTCCTGTCGGATAGCCCCGAATGAGGCCTGCCCGCTGCCCACCTGCATGGCGGATCCCTGGCCTGCCGGGTTGGCCTCTCCCAAGGCTTCTGTCCCCAAACAAAGCCCTCGGTGTGCTCACGTACCCAGCCTTCACCCACGGCACGGGGGCCAACACCCTAACTTTAACCCACGCAGGAGTGGGAGGGGATGTGGGCCGCCTCGACGCTCTCCAGGTGTTCCCAGACTTCAAAGGCCAGGCAGCACATAACATAGAGCACATGGTGGGGTTCACTGTAATGCTCCCACATGCACCTAACATAGAGCACATGGTGGGG